GATTTTATTTTGATTTAGTAAAAAGATAATAAATATTACAGAGATTTTTGAACAGCTCGCGCATACAGACAATAATGATAATAAGTTGGTTTTTGTCTGTCCAGCTAAATTTAGCTAAAAGCCGGCCCATATAACCTCACCTTTTTATTTTATTTTATTAATTTTAAAACTATAAAATAAAACTTTCAATTTTTTGGAAATTTTTACAATTTAATGAGAATTAATGTTGTGAACAAAAATTTCTTGTTTTTTTGAAAAAGGGACTAGATTAAAAAAAAAAATTGAAACGGAGGTTATTCTTTTTTGGAAAAAGTGGGGGTGAAATGACGGAATTACCCCTAACATGGATCCCATTGACCTTTAATCATTGAGAGGCTAATCCTAAGAGTATATTTTATTTTTAGATCGGCAGATTAGTGATCTGTGATTGTCTGAGTAAATTCAGTATTTTTATACTTTGGGGGTAAGTAGCAAAATGACGAAAATACCCTCCACCGGGTTTCGAATTTACTTAGATATTTTTTAAAAATTCAGAAAAAAAAAAGGAAAAACAGCCCCGCTTGCTTTCAGTTTTCAACTTGTTGGGTGGGGCTGTGGTTCTCTACAGCAGGGCCTACGGAGGGACCTACTCTTGATTGGGACAAATGGTAGTTTGATAAGATTTTGCTTTTCCATAATTCTATTAAATACTTTAAGGGAGGGAAAAAATAAGTGAAATAAAATTTGAATTTTATTTTACATAAAATAAAAATTATTTATTGTGGGATCCACTGTGGATTTAAGCCAGTTAGATGTAGGTCAATGTTATTAGGCCAAGCCATTTATGAGTAGAAGTAAATGGTGGCCAATTCAGTTGAGTTGTGTCCTACCATATTAATTCAAATAAAATAAAATCGACGGCTCTGATCTTATCATCATGCAACCATGATTGAAATTTCTTTCCTTCTCAAATTTAACCATTTTGGATCCCTCGGTAGTTATTGTGGTCAAGGACGAAGCCAAGGAAGAAAGACGAGAACAAGTGTCCCTTAATTTATCGCAACTCAAAAAGTAAATATAAATTGCTTAAAATTTTGTATCTTTCCTCTCATTTGTCTCTCTGAATTTTTAGAAATGAAAAACCGTATCCATATTAATTCGAAATTTCATCCCTTTTAAAAAATTTCTATATAAAAAGAGAGACTTTGAAAAAATAGATTCAAAACCTACCATCTACTTTAGATTTTGAAATTTTATAGAATATCAAACATAAATATATTTAAAATAAATACAGTCAGAATACAATAAAAAATTTTAATGTAAGTGCGAAATTTTACGTTTTAACTTTTTAATATATAGAATCTTTTAATTTGAGAAGTTTCCCGTGAGCGAATATAATTTTTTTAATCTAAGACAAACGATGACGAGTACAAGGGTACCGAAACAATTGACACCGAGTAGATACACTGGATTATTACTCTTTTAGCATTATTGGAAAAAAAAATTTGTGTATAAATGGTGGAGGATGTGTAGCCATACAGTTTTGGGGGTATATATGACAAGTGTATATCAATTTTTGTTTTTCTCAAAATTAATTAATTAATTACATTTTAGTCCCTCTCATATAAGTGTAGTTTTGATTTGAAAATGACTATAGCTATATTGTGATAAGGTTGTTGAAAAATGTTAAGCTCCCATTTGTCAATTTT